GCACTTCAAAGGCAAATCAATAGAATTTGCGCAATGTTGCTAAGCCAAGGCGAATGCAACGTTGACTCCTCTGCACTGCAGTGCATCAGCACAAAAGGTGCATCAGCCGAAGGGCAATCCACTCCGTTCAACAATGAGTTGTTGCGCACAAACTTTGGAAAAGTTTAAGTGGCTGCCAGGCTGCAAGGCTCGTGTAGTGCAGTCAAGTGGACTTTGAGTGGCTTTCGATGTCTTTAATCTAATTTACTCAGCCATCTATCCAGCTTCCCATCTGTCCAGCTGTCCAAGCACCAGCCAGTCAGTCATTTCACTAAACTCCAGCCATATTATGCTTAATATTATTTAAACTTGTTGCTAATAATAATCCATGGCTTCAAAAATCCATTAGCTGCTGCTGTGATTCTCCCTTTTGTCAAGGTAAATAGGAATAAGCTGCTTAGTGTCTCATTGTGTTTTAAATGTCATTGAAAAGGGAACCGCTAATAAGGGAAACACGCCCAATCCAGGTCGAGATATCTGGCCAAGTTAATCTAGTCAGGCAATTTTAAATCTATATATAAATAAAAAAGTTTCACATATTTTTCCTCTATACCAAGTCATTTATCTATTATTGTTCAGAAAAAAATTAAATCTGCAATAGAAATGGAATTGCCTATTACAAAAATATTTTATATTATTTTTATCCATAAATAAATAAACCAAATTAATATATAAAAGTCGGCTATATGTTGAATGTTGCTACGATTATTTTGAATTTTATATATTTTTGGAAGCTTAACGAAAGTAAAATGTTTCAGAGAATACAATACAACAAAATTACATTATTCTTCCCCACTTATATTTATAGTAATTTTTATAGAATTAAATATTATTTAATTATTATATAATAAATACGAATTTGTATACGGAAGACATTTATTTAATGCACATTAACATAAATTAACTTAGAGTGAATTACTTACTCTCGTTTATTTTGAAGTCATGAAGAATGGATAAGGTACAGAACGAACCCAAGGATTGCAGTCCTATAATTGTGGAAGTCGTTTATAGAGCGAGGCTAGAGAGCAAGAGAGTCGATTCGGCTGAATATGTTGCAGTTGATCGTAGTTAGAGGCGATATGAGAGGCAAATATGCGACTAGTCCACCAATGGAAGAAGATGAGAAACAACACAAAATTCTAGCTTACTACATTCTGAGCACAATTCAACATGAGAAGGAATGATGAGTGGAGTGTAATATGCCTACTAAGCACGAATCAAACTCAACACATTCATTCCTTCCGCTTCACATTTGTCACCTCTGAAACATAGAGGAGCACAAAATGTTATTATGACAGCTCTTGAAATAAAAATATATTGTTTACATTTTATATTCATATAAATAATATGCAGATGTACCTCAACTTTTATCGATACCTGCATCCATGTCAAATAACAATTTCAATACAACAAATATTTTCTGATTTAAGGCATATTTCATTGAAAACTTTATTGAAAATCCGAAACTTCAAGTCAACTGAAAGCTGGCAATAATAAGTTTAGGCCTTTGCCGTTGCAAAGTTTTCCAGTGGAGCGAAAAAAACTTATCACACTAATCAATTTGCTGAAGTTGAGAGGTATGTGTTTAGAAATAAACTGGAAAATAACAAATAATGCAATTAAAAAACTGGCAGATGATAAACAATCAATGCCTCGGCTGAATATTTATTAAAGTTTTGCCAGAAAGAGATATGCAAACCAGGCCAAATAAATACTGACAGGCATAAAGCAATTATAAAATGCAATCGAATCATTTACAGACAGACACAAGCATATAAATATGTGTACATTTATATATGTATGTATATATGCAGAGCGAGTATGCCGTGGCATTGGGTCACGTGCCGTCCCGAAAGACAATGTGATCGATATGCGAAAACTGCAACTAGTCCACAACAACATCGTTGAGGCGTAGGATATGCCGACATTGTCCTTAGACATTCAGCCTCAACCTGTGATACTATTTTGCCAAGCGCCAAGAGAGGCATACACACACACACACACACACGCGGGCACACGCATACGTGTATGTATATAGAGTGAACGTGTGGGATAGACTCGTGCAGGCATAGCCGTACAAACATATAAACAGGATTACGTGTCTCAAGGGTTATGCAAGCAAGCTTCCGTTGTAAATTGATTTTGTAACAGGCAGAAGGAGCACACAAAGGAAAAATGAAAGGCATTTTATCTACTTATTGTTGAGGGTGCAATATCGAAGTCCACCTGAATATACAATGCATGTATTGTATTGTGTGTATATACATCGACAAATCAGCTCATAAGCCATTCAAGCTCATGGCTGTGTTGACGTGTGTGTGTGTGTGCGGATTTCAGTTCGCCTGAACAAATTATGCAGGACATTTGGGCATAAAAATCACAAGATTCCTTTTGTTGTACTATATTAAGGGTAGCACCAACCAGCATTGTCAGCCCATGCGTCATGAATATACATATTCAGCACATCGAAGCTATGCATTGATTAGGCACTGACAGGATGAGCAGAAGGGTTATCCTTGCCGAGCAATTCGACGCTTGATTCATTTGGCATGCGGCAATAGGTGGCACGATGATGCTCCATAAAGTGTTTTCAATTAGCCCGGAATGCAGAACAGAATTTGCCATTCCCTCGCTTTATTTCTTTTTGCGAATTCTTCATAAAGTGACTGTGAGCCGCTTCCAATGGCTCGTCTGCTGTCGGCATATTAATGGAGGCCAAACAGCCGGCCTCGGCTTTGGCTTTGGCTCTGACTCTGGCTTTGATGACACACAGGCACACACAAAGCTATCTGCTAATTGCGCACACACGTTCACGATTTCACCTGGCCAGGTAACTAGGCAACACCCGTGTTCCAAATGAGCGCAAAAGCGAATAGCAAAAACGGAACGGGCGGCAAAAAAAAAAAAAGATACTAAAACTGACGACATGTACGCCAAATTGGCGCTCAGCTGGATTAGCCGATGTCCAGTTTCATTCTACATATGACAACTGCGAACAGGTGGTCCTTGGGGCCTGTGCAAACATTTGCCTGAACTTTGCCCCTTTTTTCCCGCATCGCAATAAATTCATGTGTCTGTGTGTGCGTAGGTGTGTGCGGGTGGGTGCGGGTGTGTGTGCTGGACTAATTTAGTGAACATCTGTGGCAGCTGAGCTTTGACATTGTTTTTGCATAACACCCAAACTAGAGAATGGTCCTGAATATTAATGTCGATTATATATCAGCCCAATGGGAGGCTTATAGGCACACCCACACATCCGGGCCATCAACATAATTTACTCGGCTCTGTTAGTTTAGTTACTCCTACTTCCTGCTCTCTCTCTCTCTCTCTCTCTCTTTGCTCTCTTCCCACTTCCCCTGGCCTATGCATGCATATTTTATGCCTTTTATCATAATTTATGCGTTCATACTGCAAATGCATAAAATTAAATTCAATTCATTCAGATATCTGCATGCATATATAAAGACATAAATATTGCCTCTCTCTCTCTCTCCCTCTCTCTCTCTCTCACACACACACAACCACACTTAGCTGTGGCTATCTGGCCGCATTAGGTTTGCGTAATACGCAGTTTTGGTCAATGGATTCACATTTTATATAATGCCCTATCCGCCTCAGTCACGCCCATTTGGCCGCCTTTGTCGAGGCATCATATTTTTAGCCATCATTTGCATAAATTGTTGTGAATATATTGCAGTTAGATGGACAAAGAGGTTTGTCGCTTTTGTATCGCATTGATAATAAATTGATGGGAGCTCGCAAGAGTTGGCGCAGTTAGTAAATCATTTTTAATTAAATCGCATTCAATCAACTCGATTAAGGCCAAAGTAATGAAATTCTCCAAGTACAAATCCCGATTCGCAGCTGCAATTTGATTACGTCTGTTGTCTATTTACCTATTTCCCTTTATTTACCATCTCGGCCCTTGTCTCCGTTGCAATGAAAATCTAATTAAATTAAGAATTGGCCGATTGCTCCAGCCAGATACTACATTGGTACATCCCACGCCCACTTTATTGAATTCGCTTGCGCAATAAAAATTTATGTTCAGTCCGCCCCAACTCCGGTCATGCTCCAACTCCGACTCCGGTTCCAGCTCCTCCCACACAGTTGATCACAAAGCGTAAAAATGCACAAAATAAAAAAAAAGAGAGAGAGAAAATGAAATGAGGAAAATCTAAAAAGGAAGACACAAAAAAGAGGCAAAAGGGAAAACAAAAAGGAAAACATCTCTGAAAGAGCAGGCAAACTGATGATTTTATCACGGCCAGCATTTTTTCAGCTTGAGCTGTGGCGTTGGCCTTTTATTCAATTTGCGCGCTTCATTCAAATTGTGCGCCAACAAGTTTTGGCCGGGCTTGAACTTTTGGCATTGTTCTCCAGCCAGCGGAACAGCCAGCGCTGGTTGGCTCCACTAAAGGGGCTACCGAATTGACGGCTATTTGGCCAAGCATTTCTAAACCTCATTAATTTGTTGTGTGATAAATGAAATCAAAGCAAATTATGCGACCCTTACAATGACAATATATACATACATATATATATATATATGTCGAAGCACTAGTATTCTTGTTGAAGCACTAGTATTC